ATTCAGATGTTGTAGCACACTCGGTCTTCTCAGGCATTCTGTCTTCAACTGCACAACGGCTGAAAAACATCAAAACCAAAATTAAATTAATTAACATTTTTCTACAAATGTGGTTATGATGTACAGTGGTACAGTGATTGAAGCGAAATGTTTAAACACTTAGCTTTGGATGATATTTTGCAGAGTTGCATCCAGACAGAACTGCTATTGTCTCCAAACTCTTCCTGCAACATTACAGAAGGACAGATATTAATAATGACAGAATCACAGTGAACTGCATATAATGCATTTAATACAGATTGTCAAACAAATTCAAGGTAAAACTTGTATTATAACAGTATCTTACTACCTCTCTCTTTACCTTACTTTCTTCATGTTACTTTCATACTCACTCACTGCCTCCCTGGAGCTGCTACATTAATCTTCACTCTGTCCTGCCTGTCACTGGTGCTGCTGCCTTTACTGTCTAGTGTCCTCCCTAAAGCTGCCAATCTACTCTCATCTTCGTTCTTCTTGCTGTAGCTGCTGCTCTACTTTCCTGGTAGCTCAGTGGCACAAAACATCAACACAACCATGTATATCACCGCAACACGACCATACGCGCCAACCCGATGGCTAAGGCTGTTCTAGCCCCACTGGCACCATTAATGCGTGCTCAGTACCCCCGGTTCCGTATGGAATACCACCTCAACACGGCCATATGCGCCAACCCAGTGACTAAGGCTGTTCTAGCCCCACTGGCACCGTTAATGCGTGCTCAGTGCCCTCGGTTCCGTATGGTAGGCTATAACAGTGCACCACACAACAATACCTGCCAACCACAAAAACTCATGTCTGCAAGATGCAGTACACGGGATTGTGATAACTATAATACGCCTGTAAGACACCTGATTGAAGGCAGACCTCTGGATGGGAGACGTAAACGTGGTCCAGTAGCGCGTGCTTCTTGGTCGTTGCCGTCGTGATCAGTTGCGTGTACCCGTTGGACTGGAACAACTCCAGTATGGCCTTTCTTCCCGATGAAAGAAGGTCTTCGTTAAAGTCTCCGCAGACGATAACAGGATGATTCTTCTTCATCATGTCCATGTACACGAGCAGGCTCCTTAAATTTGGCAAAAACCTCTCCAGACTGTAGTGTGGTGGCCTGTACACGGGACAGTGGTAGCTCAGTGGTTAGGACGTTGGGCTACTGATCGGAAGGTCATGAGTTCGACCGCCAAGCTGCCACTGCTGGGCCCTTGAGCAAGGCCCTTAACCTTCAACTGCTCAGTTGTGTAAATAAGATAAATGTACGTCGCTCTGGATAAGGGCGTCTGCCAAATGCTATAAATGTAAATGTACACTGTTGCAGTCGTCGGGGTGTCAATTTTGATGACGACGAACTCCAGGTCTGTGACAC